GACATGATTTTTAGGGTAAGTCATCTCGCTTCACTTGAATTTGTTGGGATTGGATTCCAAATCCCAGACTTCTCAGCCTAGGAATCAGGATCACCCTTTAAGGAATTTATGCTGGGAATAAAGTTTGTTCAAATATAGAAATTACGTTGCAATTTACTTATCAATATTAATATAAAACTAAGTATAAGATTTTTTTTTTTGAAATAAAAATTAAGTGTAAGAATTAACTAGAGATGGGATTAGATGAAAATTTAGGCTTTATCATCACCAATATATGTGATATTATAAGGCTCAATACTTCTTAAAGTTTACTTAAGTTTGAAAAGCTAGATAATTTCCTTCTAAGTGGACCTTTGATTATATTGACCCATTAACTTTGTTATCTACCACAAGAAACAGTGAGACAGACACAATTTACATTCTGTTTGGATAAATTTTAGTAATAGTTAATTAATGTATGATAATGACGGTGATTGAATGTAAAGACACAACATGCGAATGATAAAATTTTTTTATATTTGGATGATTGTATATTAATGACATATTTTTGTCTGAATGATAGGATGATATGGTTGTATTTTCAGTTAAATTACTAATTTACTCATACTTATTATATGCAATAGTAAATGATATATAAAAAGTATGTGATTAAAAAAAAAAAAATTGTTTACCAATATAATTACATTTGTATTTAAATAAGTAATTATTACACATAATCAAATTAAATTTTTATATTTAATAAAATAAATAATAATTTATGAGAATAAAAATAAAATTAAATATATTATATGAGAATATAAGGAAAAAAAAAGTAATCTGGCGTTCATATACTATTGATTTAGTAATTTTAAAATTTATCCGAAATTTGTCATATAAATACCGTTTGTTACTATTGAAAATTGAAATAAACATTATTTTCTCGTACCCATGAAATGCCATACATTAAAATTCTGTCATTCACCACGATCCAAACAGAGTGTTAGGTGCTAGAAAGTTTCTTTCCATTTCTCTACTTCCCTCTTTGAGGAGAGACCGGGTTGGAAACCCAGGAAACCGCAGAAGGTGTTATTGTTTTGTGCGACTGCGTACATATGATGCTCATGTTGGTTGCATTTCTCTATTTCCCTGGTTGACTAGCAAAATTTCTGAGACTATAGTAACAGAATGACATACCAGATGTTGCTGTGTCTATGATAACCAATTCTCTTTTTTTTTTGTTTTTTACCAGCTGTGGTATATGCTTTCAAAGACACTAGCTGAAGAAGCTGCTTGGAAGTTTGCAAAGGAGAATAAAATTGACATGGTTGCAATAAATCCAGGACTTGTCATTGGTCCTCTCTTACAGCCAACTCTAAACACAAGTGTGGAGCCAGCTCTGAATCTTGTAAATGGTATACTTCAGTCAGCATTCAGAACATTCTTCTATCATTTCTTCATGAACAATACCTTTTGTTTATGTGTGGAGGAACAAAGCGCCTTGAAAGCAACATAAATGGGTTGTGTGTAATCTGTGAGAACCCATGAGCTGTAGCGTTTTCAGAGATGAAAATGTGTATGTAATTAAGCATTGCAGTGCAAGAAAATGGCTAGTATTATTCTTGTGTGAATAAGCAATGTGTATTTGATGCAGGAGCTGTAACCTTTCCAAATGCAACTTACAGGTGGGTTGATGTTAGAGACGTTGCAAATGCACATATACTGGCTTTTGAAAACTCTTCAGCTTGTGGAAGATATTGTATGGTTGGAAGAGTTGTGCACTCTTCTGAGGTTGTGAAAATTCTTCGCGAGCTATACCCTTCTCTCAATCTTCCCTGAAAGGTAAGTCATGTTATAATTTGCATATTGTTAAGGAAGTTGATGTAATTTTGTTTGGACTGTTTTTGGTTAAACTTCCAATGTTCTATGTGCAAATTTCATTAAGATATTATTACAGAGAAAAATGGAATTGATTGTTATGTGGTAGTGGATCGAACAGTTCTCCCTATTCTGCAAAGATGATCATGAACCTGCATTGCTATCATTCATGATTTAGTTACTACTCTGCATTTTCATTTATGCAGATGTGCAGATGATAAACCATGGACGCCAGTGTATTGTGTATCCAAGGAGAGAGCAGAAAGCCTAGGTGTCAGTTTTACTCCTCTGGAGGTGAGTTTTAAGGATACTGTGGAGAGCTTGAAACAAAAAGGCTTCTTTTAGTGTGTGAATCATGCAACTCAATCGGCATCGGCCAAAAGTTGCATTTAGTACATGTTTCGATTAAGCACTTCCATTCTACTCGAACAAAAAGCAGCTTTTGATTACATGATGATGATTATTTTTTCTTATATCTGTTTTGTTGTGCTTACACTGTGAAGTGAATTACATGACTATTTGACCGTGTATAATTGCGGGGACTAACAAAAGCTCCTTATTTATATATTTTTCGGAGGGTGAAAGTATACTTGAGATAGTCACCAAAATTCTCTATGAATTACTTTGAGAGTGCACTTGCCAAATAGATTCAGGATTTTCTCTCTGAAATCAACAAAAGTTACCTTGTGATACAAAGTATACAAAATTCGAGATATTATATTGCATGTTAGTTCTGTGAAAGCAGGGTAAATTGTGACTCTACCGACAGATGTTAGACTGTGCTGACGAAGGATAAACCATCGAATACTGATAAACACAATAATTATCATAAAATAGTACAAATCTAGAGATATTTATCAGTTTGGTATTAGATCGGATCATATCAAATTGAAATCTAGAACTGAATAAGAAAGATGTTCTAGACTGAATAGATTTTTTTCGGTGTGATTTTGTAATGTTTGAGTCGGTTCAATTCAGAATAGATTTATCCATCCTCTTCTTACTTATGTTAGTTTCAAAATATAAATGTGAATAAAGCAATATTGAGAAAAACTTTGATATATTATTTTCCACAATTATCATATTTTTTTTTACTAAAAAGAAAGAAAAAGAAATGCTAAAAAAACTAGTTCCCCTTCAGTCAGGGCTAAACAATATCATAGATACGGTAGAGATTTGTGGTGGATCCGACGGGGAGATGATGAGCTCAGCGAACCAGAGAAAATTTGTGAACGTGTTATCTTTTTGATGTATGTGAGCTCTACAAGAATATCATTTAACCATATAACTGCAAATAAATATCTGTACGATGTATTAAATGCTTTGCAAGTTGATAATAAATAAATCAATAATTGGGTTTAAAAAGGGAGTGGGGGCTTTGAAAAATATGAAAATTTTAAAATTTTAAAATTTAAAGAAGAAGAAGAAGAAGAAGAAGAGGAGGAGAGGATGAGTGGAGGAGGAAAGGTGGTGTGTGTAACGGGAGGTTCTGGTTATATAGCCTCATGGCTTGTGAAGCTACTGCTTCAACGTGGCTACACTGTTAAAGCCACACTGCGTGACCCGTGTAGGTTTCTCTTCTAATATGTTTACCCTTTTGTTTCTCTTACACGTATATAATTATATATGTAAATGTGAGGTGGTATGTATATGCATATATATATGTACAGATGATACGAAGAAAACAGAGCACTTGCTTGGACTTGATGGGGCAAAGGAAAGACTTCGTTTGATGAAAGCAGAGTTACTTGAAGAAGGGTGTTTTGACTCTGTGGTTGATGGATGCCATGGTGTATTTCACACTGCTTCTCCTGTCTCCTTTTCACCATCTGATCCACAGGTACTTCAAACATTCATCTCTCTCCCTCTCATACTTCTTCTAAGTTTATTTTCAAAATATCAAAACATATGTCAACTCTAAATTACTGTAATCTTTATTTCATCTCCTTCTCTAAATTTTACTAGTCTTTTGATTCTTTTAGTTTTGATAATAACAAGCGCTCGTAATGTTTCAGACAGAACTAATTGAACCGGCAGTGACAGGAACACTTAATGTACTAAAATCATGTGCAAAAACTTCAAGCATCAAGAGGGTGGTTTTGACATCTTCTATTGCCACAGTTCTTTACAATGGAAAACCTCTCACCCCTCAAGTTGTGGTTGATGAGACTTGGCAATCTGATGTTGATTTTTGCCAAAAATCAAAGGTTTCTTCCTTTGAACTCAATTTATAAGTATGCGAAACCTAGACAGACATTAACATGGTTCTGTGGGTGGTGGCAGCAGTTGTGGTACATGGTTTCAAAAGTACTTGCAGAGGAAGCTGCTTTGGAATTTTCAAAGCAACATGGAATTGATTTGGTTATAATGAACCCAGGATTTGTGATTGGTCCTCTGTTGCAGCCAACTCTCAATTTCTCCCTCCAAGTCATTCTCAAAATGATCAATGGTAGGTGTTCATAATTTCTTATTTGATCTCTTTTTAATATAAGATTATATATATATATACATATATATATATATTTATAAAAATTTCTTTTAACTACTCATTATCTCGTATATCAGATATTAGTTGAACTGGTTAAATAGTTGTTAAATAGTTATTCTGATGATTGTATCGTTTACGTAAAAGTTTAGGATGACTGTAAATTATGCCATAAAATCTGAAAGTATTATTAAAATATTTATTTATTAAAAACAGTTTTAATTAAAAATTATTTATTTATTTATATTTTTGTAAAAATTAATTTTTAAAAAATAATTTTTGAGATTTCAAAAGTTAATTGTTAGTGAAAGTAAAAATAATTTTTTAAAAACTACACATCATAACTTTTATATTTAAACTTATCAAAAGTATATTTTAGTATTGTTTTTCGTCAAAAATACTTTAAATAGTTATTTTGATAAATGTATCGTTTAAGTAAAAATTTAAGATAATTTTAACTTATGTTTGGACAGTTTTTTAAAAATAGTTGTTCACTAAAAATATTGTTAAAAATAATTTTTAAGAGTTTAAATATAAATTGTTATCGAAAGTGAAAATCATTTTCTAAAGTTACACGTTATAAGTTTCGTATTTAAATTTATCGAACGTAGATTTTAGTAACTAGTTTTTGTCCAAAATATTTTAAAATTTACACGTTAAATTGTTGAAGTATTTTTAAAATACAAAATTTAAAATCAAAAGTTCTAACCAAATGCACCATAATTCTCTTTTAAACTACAAAATTAATTTAAGGTTTGAATTACGAAATAATAAATTATTATAATATATCGAATTAGAAGATCAATTTTCTATTTCTCTAGATAGGTTGCTATTCCTTCAATGACTGATTCTACCTCTTAAGAAGAAGGATTTTCAATGGGATTAGGGTTTTTCGTTTCTTCGCTCCCATTAGTAAGTTATTAAAAAAAAAAAAAACATAAGAAGAAGGATCGAAAGATGGTAAACTAGAAAGGGATCAAGTTAACATCTGATCTAATTTCAATTTCGAAGCATGAAAAATTAATTTTGTATAAATAATATTTTTATAACTTCAATTAAATTGCAGGAGATATAGTGTTCCCAGGATCAGATTATAGATTTGTTGATGTGAGAGATGTGGCAAATGCTCATATTCAAGCTTTTGAAATTGATTCTGCTTGTGGGAGATATTGTTTGGTTGCAGAAGCTTTAGCTTTGTCCCAGGTGCTCCAGATTTTGCATCAACAATTTCCAGCTCTGCAACTTCTTCCGAGGTCACTTCTTCTTCTTCTTCTTCTT